GTGCAAACAACGGATTGTCTATTATGAACACCTTCTTCGAGCATCGAAAAGTGCATCAGTGTATCTGGTAAATGGAAGCTTGTGCGCAAAACTTTAAGATCGATTTGATCATCATATCGTCTGATTTAAGACGCTCAGTAATAGATGTTCCCGTTAAGACAGGCGCAGAACTCTCAACCGATCACCACCTTGCTGTTGGCACATTTCGCTCAAAGAAGTGGAGTACCATACGAAGATCCTTTGGCAAAAACATCCAGAGAATCAAACGAGAACCATTATCAACGTTGAATACAATAGCGAAATTTGCGAACAGCATCGCACGACGGTTCGAACATATCCCGGTGATGACCACTGTTGTAAAAACCGAGTGACAACGCGTTAAGAGCGGCATAGTCCAGGCTGTCGCTGAATGCTGGGGATTTAAACGGGTTTACTGCCTAGAGGTCAGAACTTCCTGATGGACACGAGGTACAACTGGCAGTTGAAGAGAAGCCTGCATTCAACAAATAAGTTGGACAGAAAGCGGCATATATTCACATGCGAAGCACGCAACGCAGCAGTGAAAGCAGTGGCGAAAGCAATGGTTTTGTTCCAGGGGAGGTTCGCTGAAATATTGGAGTGGAATCTGTACACGACAAAAAAGATAATCTGGCAGAACATTTGCCGGCTTCGTGAAGAGAAAGACGGTCTAAGAGTCTTGAAGAACAGGTCTGAGTACCCTCTTAGCAAGGATGAGGATATTCTTTTGCAATGGAGAGAACGGTTTGAGGAACTCCTCATCCCGGAACAACCGCAGGAAAACTCGACAGTAGTGCAATAGGGAACGTATATTTCTATCTCTGAAGATGAAATTACATAAGCTGTGAAATGCTTGAAAGATGGAAAGGCTGCTGGAATTGATAGAATCAGCCCTGAAGTGCTCAAGGCAATAAGCGAACAAGGCGTGTGCTGCCCTACACATGTCTGTCAAACTGCGATGACGACGGGGAAGGCACTAGCATACAGGAGAATGGAAGCTATTGTATTTCTATTCAAGAGGGGAGACCACAGGGAGTGCTCCAATCGTCAGGGCATTACGTTATTCAGCCTCCCAAGTAAAATCCATGCAAACTTGCTAGAAAGGAAGTGCCGCGGAATATCTGATTCCAAGATACAAAAAGTTCAGTGTGGCTTGCAGCCCGTTCGAAGCACCTCTGGCCATATATTTTCCCAGCGCCAGATTGCTGAGAAAGCTTCGTAGTACGCCCGTCCGGTGTACAATTGTTTTGTCGACGTTAAGAAAGTGTGTGACTGGATCCAGCACATTATGTGGTCATGCCTGCCAGCACATTGGATAGATGGCCAGCTGTTACGTGTCATCCAATCACTGTATTCTGATAGCAGGTGGTGCAATACAGTAAATGACGTTAAGTCGAAAGTTTTTAACGTTTACACTGGTCTGCGACATGGCTGCGTCCTACCCCTTATCCTATTTGTGTTGCAAATGGATAGAATAATCAGCAACAGCCAAGGCGATTAGTGTATCGGTGTAGAAGTTGTGAAGACGAGAAGGTTGTTGTTTGCAGACGACCTTGTATAATTGGCATCTTTTGAAGCCGATCTACAGTGCTCCCTGGAAAAGTTGGCAGCCGAGTGTGACGTGACCGGTATGCGTGTGAACGCATCAAAAATGAAAGGCCTAGTGAATTCTCGTTCCCCTGCCCGATGCTTTTTTAGATTAACGGAGAGGCAGTAGATCAGGTGTAGCAGTTGAATTACCTCGGAGTAGTATTTGCTAGTGATGGAAACTTTGAAGAAGAGATGGGCCAGCGAGGTCGAGTAACCTGTGGCATTCTACGTGAAGCTGACCGATCCATTGTGACGAATGCAGCGCTCAGTCTGAAAACTGAGCTCTCGTTGTTCAAGTCGATCTCTCACTCGATTCTTGCTTACTGAGATGATTTTTTTACCATTAATGAGAAGTTCGATACTGGTACAGACTGTTGAAATGGTTTTTCTAAGACAAGTGGCTGGAGCTATGCGTCTCGGCATTGTCTGGAGTTGAAATGCAAGAGAGCGTTGGTGTACGACCGATTTTTCTTTAGACCGAGAAGCGACATCTGCGCTGGTTTGGGCACGTTTGTTAATGCCTCCAAATACTAAGGCTTTGCAGCTGTTTTGTGCCAAACTAACGGGCAGATGGCCCAGGGAACGGCCAAGATTATCTTGATTCAGATATATAGGAGTCTCCTCCAGAAGCAGGTTGTCTTTCGCCGTTGCTCAGACTTTGTCACAGGGTCGATAGTGTTGGAAACACGGTGTGGCGCCTCTGTTTCCCCGACTCGAAAGGAGAGGCAGTGATGAAAGATGCAGATATAATAGTCCAACCAAATACATTACGCTGTAAAATCAAAGAAGTTTAAAAGTGCCTTTCTGTAAAATGGACATTTTCATATTAAATGTGAATAATAGTTTCAATTCGTGTGAGCTAATGCTCCTGCATCTGTATTTAAATTTTTTGACCAAATGAACGGAAAATTGCGATTACTCTCCCACAGTTGGTGCGGAAAGACACTCATGGCCAATTAAGTTCACGTGATTTATTGAAACTGCTTTGCTGTATGTTTCCATCATTAACACTCTTTTATTTCACTTTGCTAATCCTGAGGTTCAAGCCACAGTACCACTGGATTCTGTATTATGCCATGATTCCTCCAAGAAGTGCGGAAAACCCTTCTAAGTCGTAGGTTCGAAATGGAATATCTGAACAAGATCAGAGAAACAGTGTCGAATGTCGCTGCCTCAGTAACTTCAGTGCTGCCGGGAAACCCGATCACTCGAGAATTCGAACCCGTGACTCACGTGGCATCGGCTGGTCCAGGACTCATTTGGAAAATTTATTCTGGCTATAAGAAAAGCAATGGAAAAGTACGCATTTGCTGAAACTTAAAGCGGCAGTTAGTTTTGGCTCATTTGAAACTTGCACTAGAAGAAACGAGGCTTTCATTTTTAGAATTCGTAACTATTTTTCATGAATCAATTTCTTTAGTTACACGGTTACAGCGCCCCTCTTCGTTTTCGTCATTGTTTGAAGTTGAATACCTTACTTATTCCCTAAAACAGCAAGCGAAAATCCTTTCATCATGTTGTCACCTCTAATAATAGAACATAACATTTGCATTGAATTGTTGCTGTGTGATCGGTACAGAAGTAATATTCGTTACCGTGATCATTCCTACCTCTGCTAGATGCACCAGGAGTTTCTTTCTCGATGCTCTGCGCCTATGCGGCTTTTGAGTAGTTTTCCTAAAAGTTTCTTCATTGGCACATGATGTCCTTCCGAGATTTGTGTGGATGCTCAGTGCCTCTACGGATTTTAAAAAGGTTCCTCTTCATGATTTGTTCGTTGGCACGTGATGATTCAGAGGTAACTTTTTATTGGCAGCTCTGTTCCTTCAAAGTTCGCACTGTTGTCAGACGGAAAAGTTGTCGGTTGTATTTTTTTGGGCCTTCAGTCGAGGTGATTGGCAGCAACCGTGCGACCCTCTGTGTTCGACTCTGCTGGGTATAAAATCTGCAACAAATGACGAATGCTTTCAATCTAAGGAATTTCCGAATCTGTTGACGTTTGACCAGTTTTGTTTGATGAGTTAGTGATTGAACTTTTACCGTTTTTGAAAGTTTTTTTGGTTAGTATTGAAAAGTGTGTGTTATTCACCTTTTAAATGGTCAGACTTTGGCGAGCACGCTGAATTCTTTACTAATTAACTTCTGTAAATGGTGTATTTCCACCACTTGACAATTGCTTCGGTCGAGGCTGCTGCGAAAAGATTTACGTCACAGCGAGTCCGAGTCCGAGTCGATTTTCACCCGAAAACAGAAGTACTAGTGCTCAGTGGAATGCGCACATTGTTCGTTTCTTGTTTTAGACCCT